GCAACAAAATTTAGCAAGTTAATGAGGAGACAGTAAGGAGGTGGATGAGTATGTGTTTCCCATCACTGTGTGCGAGAGATGCTGTCTGGTGGTGGTCACGTCACATGAAACACTTGCGACAATAAGTCAATTGTTACGAGCTGGTTAGACTTCGGTAAAGTCATATGATGGGTAAAATCATCTGGAAGGTTTTAAATTTGGGGTAAATACGGCCGCGATGATTCAGGTGGTGGATACGTCAAGTATTACACGCCACACCCGCACTGCCTTTGCTAACTACTGCGATGAAGTTTACCTGAGAATCCACGGAAGGTGGAAGTAAACTCTGCCAGGGAGAAACTCTGTGCTAGGCTGCTTGGCATGGCTGAGCTACCTGCTCCATAGGGTCTGCACTCTCTGCAACGTAACCAATAAAACATCTGTTACTATTCACTCCTGAACATGCACACTCACGCTTTGTTAAATTGAGCCAAGAAAATGATATGTCATCGCCAAAAATCTTCCCCACTAGGCACAGCACCCCATGTTTATCTTTAGGGATAGCTTTCCTACTATGACCCAAGCATATCCAGGATGTGCCACAGCATTAGTGAATCCACTGAGGTTTGCTTCTACTGCACAAATGCACGAAACCCGAGCCACTTTATACTGCTTCATACTTGTACAAATTATTCATCGATATGTTTAATACCACCATAAACTAATCTTAGCAGTTGGTGTGTTACGAGAAAAGATTCTCCCGCAGATGGCGTGCCGAAATAGGTTTAATCTGTATCAAGTTTCTGACATCCATTTCAAAGAACGACATTGCCATGGAAATTGTATCTGCTCATGGGAGCTTACCACTAGATGCTAAGGGTGTATACAGAGGACTCTATATTTAGCACGTGCTCGTGTCACGAAGCCAAAGCTGTGTTCCAGATTCTCAATTGTATGTTGCAGACATGGGCATAACGATATGTAACAACTTGTGTAACTGACTACACACATGTGCATGATTAGATGCGATGTTAATCGCCTGGCGTTCGACGTTCAATATGGAAGTAAGTATATATTTATATATATTGTATATATGACTATTAATTTATTTATTTTATTTATTTTGTATAGCCATACAGATCACCAACAGTGCAAATAACTCAAGGTCTAACGTCCGTAAGCTGAGAGCCGTCACTATTGGCCCGCTTAGAACCATAATATCATCACATCTAATGGATAGTTTTTAAATCTTACACCATGCCACACCCACTGTTCAACTAACACTGATATAGTTTGAAATGCAGATGAAATGACACCTTCTACACAATTCCTTGCCCACTTGCGCATCAGCCAAATTAGCCATCTCCTGTAGACGAGCAATCCCCCGCATATCCATATATTTACTCATTGCCCACCTACTGAGAGAAGTCCTTGTAGCGTGCACGCAAGATTAATGCCTCATAAATTGCGGCCATCATAGTTTGCAATCAGACTCTATCAAATTCTCTAATGCAGGATTTTTTGCAGGCGGGCACGTGTTCCGTTCAAATCTCTCCAACTCGACAACCGACCCGGCCACTATGTGATGTCGTCGTGGTAAACAACACACCCGACGCGACAATATGGTGCTTCGCTTCAATTCCATTGTGGCGTAGCATGTGTATGACGGAACTGTGGGCGTTAACTGCCCACACGGAGCACATGTGTACGTGCGTGTGACCTTGGCGACGAGCGATGCCACCACAACCAACAGTACATGTTTAACAAACACAAGCAGCACCGCTGCCTCTGGGCAACGCGACTCAGGGAAGCTCATCTAGTCATCGAGTCAATGAGTAACAGATGCTGAAGATCCCAAAGTAACAGATGCTGGCCCATGAGAAAATTTATTCGGACGGTGCATGACCACGACAATTACTTCAGCAGTCATCATCATCCACATTTATTAATCACATGCTATAATACGTGTTTGTCAGTTGGCTCAGTGGCATATATATATATCATGAGACAAAGTTCTGGAGAGAGATCAGATCACCTGCCATATTCTCCGGTTATGGTTGGAGTTATGGCGAACTTATTATAAACTGAAATTAGACTGGTACAATAAATTAACCTGGAAAATCTTTGAACTCCATCTCGATTTCCATTATATTTATGCCTATATAATATCTCTAAACATCCCGATAACTTGTGCTTGAATGAAGCTTACGCTAATCTAAAAAAAGTGCCATAACTTCAACACTGAAACAACTCAAAAATTCCTCATTCTTTTTTATCTCTTAGGTTAAGACTAAAAATTGCGCCCACAAGGACACATCTGTGTAACGTACGTTATGGTCTGAATGTGTTAAAAATACATACATATAAGGTGGCCCTCACTGTGTATAAATATAACACGAGTAAAGTGCAAATCACTATCCATAAATAAATAGAACGAACTTTCAAGATAAGGATATAATACAACAACATCTCACCTCGAACTTCCACCAAACTCGTCAATCACGTCGGCGGTTCGGCCATGGTGTCTCTTTTCGCCACTCCTGAAATGCAAACAATATCAAATGAACTGAGTCTACAGCGGTCGGAGATTCCATCACCACCACCCCCATAGTCAGTCCAGGTTACGTCGACCTGTGAAACGGCCCAGGAATCTAACATGTCGACAACCTTTCTACCTACCTTTCTAGACACACAACACCTGTTTACCGACTTGTGAAAGTGATATATAATATATTATACTACGCCGAAATTTGTTCACCGAACGGACTGGATCGTTCGGTCTTCGTTTATGGAACAGGGAGAATGGTTTTACGTTATACACTGAAGGTACTTACAAACACTCCCAGAAACTCAACTGGCCACTTTTCACCGCAGAACGCGCGCACAGGTCAGAAGAGACACACACGCCACGCCGCCTGCAGCACAAAAATCACGTGTCTTTCCTTACGATTCGGCTTTGTGATGTGCTCTTTGGAGGTACGTGCCGTACCGCCTCTGCTGCTCAACATATCTACTGAAGCCTGTCGCTTAGAATCACAGCACACAGCGATCTAACTAGAGTGGCACAGCCACCCGCCAACTGCCCACATTCCTCTCTCTCCCACTGCCTACTTTAGTACAGCCACGCGGCCTGCCGCTGACTGATTCCCACCAGCCGCAGCAAAAACTTTACAACACTGGCCTCTATACAGTATCTCCTGAGGTAATTCGCTTGCCTGGAAAGTCCATCTGCTCCACGCGCATTCAGCGGGGAGGGGAGGGCCCGATGATAGAACACTAACGCAAGAGAAGCACTCGATGATCTCAACCCCACAGTCTCATGCATCAGTAGCTATCGATTTACTTCGGATCGGTGTGTAGCGATGCAACATTTTGAAAGTAAATTTATGAAGGCATTAAACACCTTGAGGTTTACACGTTGGGATGTAAATTCCTGCATCCCTCTTCACCATCGCACATAGAGGAGCCAAATCACAGGGCTCTAGCCGATGCATGTCAAATACTACAGGGTCCAGACCAGAGGGTATAAATAAACTTTCACCCGATGA